CCTTCCTTCCTTCCTTCCATCCATCCATCCATCCATCCATCCATCCATCCATCCATCCATCCTTCCATCCTTCTCTTAGCTCAAGGGGTATCACAGTCTTCCCTCCTCCAACTTTTCTCCAAATGACAAATAGGCATCTGTGAGGGAGGGAGGTGATAAAATGTGTGTTCTGGTAATTGTGATGCAAAGTCCTCCCATTATAGATTTGTATGCAACTCACGATACAAGTACAAAAGGACAAAGCTTGCACTGTCATGTCACAATGCATGTTGGTGTCCTCATGGTTCAGTATTGATGTCTGTGTCTCAGTAACCTGTGGGCTAGATTTGACTGACAGAAAATGACTGGTTCAGAGTTATAAATTCCATGGTTGAAGTTGTACTTGAACCTAGGCCTCCCCTAACAATGCAAGGAAAAAGCAATGAGTGGTTTTGTAAACCAGATCTTGGAAAAATGTGGATTGAAAGGTATTAGTCTCCTTTCTTGGTTAAGAGGTTCCAAGGGCCAATTTTCAGAGGAGAACTAGACTAGGAAGTATTCTCTAGATGAATTTTAATTAGCAAGCTTATTTTCTGTGCTGGTATCACCTAAACAGAATCAACACTCATTTTTCTGAAACATTTTGTATTGAATACAGATGATAACAATCTCATTATTTATTCAATTTCATTAATATTGGTTAATTAATTATTAATTAATTTTGATTATTTATTGAAAAAGAATTTTTGCTGTTTGGTTTAATAAAGGAAGTAGCATGCAACTCTGAATTATACTGATAAATCGTTATTTCTCATGATACACATTTAATTGGATATATGTTGTAAGAAAGTTGTTCATGACAGAATAGCATAATTATACTTGACATGATGATTTTACAATAAGAGATTACTAAATTTCATATTGTGAAATATCATACTACATGCAAAATTGTTGGAAGCTAGTAATTCTGATGATGAAAGATAAAACAATTGCCATTATTGGCTTTTATCCTAAGCTCTTTTCCAAGAAAGAACAGGGTTCTATTTGTGGCTTTCCCACTTAAGCAAATCCCTATATCCATTGAAAATCTGTTCTATAGGACTTTGACACTAACTGGAACAAAATAATAGAACACAGTGCAGGGAATTTCAGTTAGAAGGAGAATATCTAAATAAGACCCAAGCTAATATACAGAAACTATATTATACTTCTAATTTTTTAAATTACCAATTTTTTTATCCAAAAATTGGCCCATAAAAAAACCTAAGTTTTAACAGTGGGTTCTATTCTTAAACAAGTTATACTTTTTTTTTTTATTCTGCTTATCTTTCCCAGATAAGGGAAGTTGTGGTTATACAAATTTAAATATTTTCTTCCATAGCTTTTTCATTTTTACCTCTCTTCCTCTTCCCTGTCATTCAGCTGCGAAGAAAAAAGGGGAAAAAATAGTAGGGCACTTAATGCAGTAAAATATGATAGCTTGGACCATAAACTCCTGGATCACAAATGAGACGCTGCTACTTTGCCATTGTTTTATATTTTTGCCTTACAAACTCATCATGCAGGGAGGCTGGAAAAGATCTGAAATTAAAATCACTGCTACATTGTCTTTTGTGACTGTGAGCCAGTGAAGCTATAGGTAGTCCTTGACGAACGACCATTCGTTTAGTGACCATTAGAAGTTACGGCAGCGCTGAAAAAAGTGACTTATGACTTGTCCTTGCACTTATGACCATCACAGCATCCCCACAGTCATGTGATCAAAATTTGGGCACTTGGCAACCAGCATGTATTTACAACGGTTGCAGCATCCCAGGATCACATGATCACCCTTTGCAACCTTCCCAGGTGGCTTCCAACAAGAAAAATCAATGGGGAACCACGTGATTCACTTAACAACCACCACAAAAAATGTCATAAAATCAGATGCAGTCACGTGATGCCTTGCTTAATGACTGCACCGCTTAATGACAAATTTTCTAGTCCCTATCGTAGTCATAAGTCTACGATTACCTATAAATCCATACTTGGACGAAGCTATACTTATAGCAAAAATATGGGTTTTGTTTTTTTTAATTGAAGCTTTCATTGCAACCAGATCTGTAACCAAAAAACAAACTGGTTTTAAGGTTAGTTTTTTTTTTTTTAATGTATTGCCTTTTCAAATTATTTATATTCATAAAGTATTTTCATTGTAGTTTCAGGATCATTGGTTACTGCTCTGGAATATTAGACAAGAATTTAGTTTGTCTTCAAATAAAACTCCATTCTGGAATTTGCTTTTTGAGGTGCACAGTTCAAGAGTCAGTACCTGATCTTTCTTTTGAAGTGAGAAATTAGTCTAGGTTTGCAGAAATAATTTAAACTTAGGGTGTGCTGTTTTGATTTTCAGATATAATTGTACAGTTTTAGGGCACTTCCCTTACAGTATCTCTAGAGCATCAGCAGCCATCACTGAGATGCTGTAAAGCTTGTCCTCCTTTAGTGCTATGTCAACTCAGTGATCACTGGAAGATGCTATAAGACTCTACTAAAATCCTGCCTTAACTTACTTAACACACGTATTATACTTACAGTGAAAAGTGAATAATAAATACATAAGCAAGTACAGTAATTAACCAGAAAGCTTCATTTTGCTGTTTCAGACAGGATGATGAAGAAACTTACTGCCGAGCAGTAACAGAATATACTCGCTCATGTTCACATGCAGGCTATCCTATCAGAGATTGGAGAGATGACTTTCCAGCCTGTAGTAAGTGTGTTTTAATACTGGATCAATCAAATATTAGCTTCATGATGTTAAACAAATGCAAAAGTGCTTATCTGACACACTAATGTCAAAGATCCCTGGACTATAATGGGCAGCATATTGCAACCATTCTGCAAGAAAAGAACAACTTTAATCAACAGTCCTGACATGTTTTAGAATTTGACTCCATAGCCAGAACATCTCTGGGAATAAAAATGATTTCAGGGTCATGTTAAACAGGATATATAAACTCAATTGCCTTTTTTTAATGTTTTAAAAATTTAAATATTTATATATAACTCTTCATGATAGATCTCAGAATGATTTAGATTTCAGGGTTTTTTGTGTGTGTGCCATTATTTTTAATTGTAAAAATGTACATTTCTGCATCTTAATATTCCTCTTACTAAGAATTAACATATGGGTTCTTTAGTCTAAATTTGGTTTTAAGAATGTCTTTGGCAAACCAAAATCTTAATTTAGGAAGCTGGTTGCTGTTATTATGTTTAATTAACATTTTTAAAAAAGAAAATAATGTGTACTTTATCTCATTAAAGTGAATTGTACTGGACTGTAATCATTCTTGTCTAACTTATTATTTAAGCTGACAATTGTGAAGATACTTTTATTCACCGGGATTGTATTAGCTGTTGTCCACCAACCTGTACTTTTGAGAAAGACTGCCTAGGTAGTAACCTCCATTGCTTAGATGGATGCTATTGCCCAGATGGTAAGTGAACTTTTATCAGCTGAACTATTCTGATAATAAAGTTTCTATCAGAGAGCTATTTGTCCTGTTATCATCAGAATTTTCCATAGTTTTTTAAGGAATGAGATTGTTATTAAATGTGATTGTCCTTAAATCATTGCTAATAAATAGGAAATGAACTGGAATATAGACCGTTACTGTACATTCTTTCCTTAGTGCAATTTTCCAGACCTCCTCTTTCCATCAGCCTCAGCAAAAGATTATTGTAGTATTAGTAATGCCACTATTCCATCTCACTAAGGTTTGAGGAAATATCTATTGAAAGTGTCAGATATAGACTGGGTAATCAGTTATGTAATTATTTTAATTTCACACTGAGGAATATCTTTGTACATATTAACATTGACCATTTTACATATTGTGATCTCTTTATATTTTTACAACCTAGGCCTTATATTGGACAATGGAACTTGTATTTCTGCATCAGATTGCCCATGTATTTATCATGGGACAGCTTTCCCTGTAGGTTCAACAATTGAGCAAGAATGCAGTAACTGGTATGTAATCTTCTGTAACTTCTCTGATTTGTGTCTTGCCTATAGTTGCTCTGTTTTATGGTGTTTTATTTGTATGGAGAATATCAAATTTACACCCACAATTCTTGCTGTGGAATAGGACAAAGGAGGTGGCTGAAAACCAAGGTCATATTAAAATCAGGCCCAACTTTACTGGCTTTGACGTGGTGGTAGAAGAAATCTTCTGGCACACCAAAGAATGAACCATTCTTATAGGTTCCTTTACTACCTAGTTATATGTGAACATTAAGGCCTCTGAATTAGGCTGAAGATTTGAAGTCCCAACACCAACTTCCTTTATGGTGAACTTCACTCCTTCACCCATTTTGCACAGTATCATTCCTTGCTTTTCATTGTTATGGATCCATCCCAGCACATTATACATTATAGTTTTAGTACCCATGTTAAAGTTGCAACCAGGTAGACTAGTCAGATAAAAGATTATCAGATGGCTCTAGTTCTTATCATCAATTAGAGACTCATATCATACCATAGCAACATAACTTAGTGAATGAATGTTGGCAATATATGGTGGGAGCCAAAGTAGAATTGGCTAGTGTTATTGATGAACATGCATGCCTCAGGTGTGGATCAAAGAGGGAACTGCTTCCAGGATTGCCCATGGAATTGTCTTCTCAGAATTAAAGGATGCTGCCAAAGGATCTAGAGTAGGTCCCATTCTGCACTGTGTCTACTCAGGTACTAGGAGCAGAAGTGAACCCCTGTAGCCTGGTCTGTTCTGTTCTGTGTGTGAAAGCACAAAAAAAAGTACTGACTTTTACTTTTATAGTAGTTTTTATGTACTATATAACAAAAGGGCTATTATGTAGGTTTGTATTATAAACAAATCTACAGTGCTCATTCTTATCTCCAAATAATTAAGGTTTTTTAATTTTTAATTTTGTTTAGCATTTGTATGGGTGGTGTTTGGAACTGCACTGAACATGATTGCCCAGGTAACTTTTTCTTTAAAAGATAACTCTCTGTGTGGGTATGTGTGGGGGTGTGCGTGTGAAAGAGAGAGAGAGAGAGAGAAAGTGTGTGGGGGGGGATGTTGAATTCTAGCTAAAATGTGCATGTTAAGCTTCCAACCTCCATAATACAAGCCTATGATTTAAAAACATTTATGCTGTTAGTTTTTATGGTGATAATCTTGAGATTGAGTGTTGTTAAATATTGGGCAGCACATGTAGTTAAATAAATAAATAGCCCATTTACTCAGAATTAAACCCAGTTGTATGCATCCTTAAATTTACTTACTTCTAGCTGCCAAAATAAATAAATAAATAAATAACTAAAGTATGTTCAGAAAAAAGTAACCTCTTATATGATTTGATTACTGTACTTCAGCTTACAACTACGGTGCATCCTAGGATATTAGTGTTATTACTTAAACCAACATGAAAAGTGTGATAAAAATTTCCATGTAATGTATCAGATCCTACAGATTCCCTCATGCTTCATGTTTATTGTGAATAATATTTTGACTATTGAACAATGGTTTGCTGTGGTGATCATATTTCAGTTTATGTGCAGCTTCTTCATCCTTTTTTTTCTTCTTCTTCTTCTTTGATTATCTGGAAATCTTACATTTATATATATATGTGTGTGTATATGTATGCCAGAATACATATTTTAGATACCAGAAACTACTGAGTTCTCTTGATGGTTATCAATAGAACATCAACTATCATAAACAAATTAATATTGTCCACCATTAAAAACCTGTCCAAAAGGATAAATTTTTAAAGCAAACAAGGAGAATGAATCCTCAAATGAGCAGGAATGCTTTCCAAAAAACTGGAGCAGATTCAGAGTAGGGTCAACCTAACCCATATCGAAGCAGGCAAATCTTTCAGATGGCTTTAGGGAATGGAGCCAGAGATCGTATAGAATAATAATTATAATATCCCATAATCCTAGGAGGAAATTAGGATTATGAATCAACCAAGCCCTAACTGAAAAACCTTTGTTTTGAATCTAGTAATCCCAGTAACTGAAACTGAAAAATCCAGATATTAACGTGTACAAAGAAAGAAGCAAAGTAGCTGCAAAAGTGCATTGTTCCTTAATTTTTTAACTCAAGATGTAAGGGTCCAAAGCAAGCTACTGCCTTAGAAACCCATTACAAGAAAAATTCTTTCTTTCATACTTGATATAGAGATATTATCAGATGGGGTTTTCTGGATGTATTTTTCTAACTGCAATCTATAACACCACTTGAGTGCGTGAAAAGCCTTGAAAGATTTCTAAGAATACGAAATATCTCCTTGGCTGACCTTGACAATCTAAGCAGTATCAGACCTGGTTAGCCCTCAGAAGAAAGACCATCAGGAAATCCCCAGGCTGTAGGCTGGACTAGGAAGTCAAAATAACATCCCAATGTAAAAACAATTCTGATTTGTTAAAACCCCATTCTTATATGGATCTCTCCATGAAATCACCAGGAGACTTAACTGAACTCAGCTGGACTGCTGAACTCAGAGGAGACATTATCTGTATCAATGAGCTTCTCTGAGTAATTGCAAATTACTTTTGAAGCTCTCTTGAACTTTAGTTTGTGGCATGTCTTGGATTAGCTTTCATTAGTGCAAGTCAAGTAACGGAAAAAGAATAAAAGAACATGCACATTGTGGTATCGAAGTTATCTTGCATTCACTTTATAGTTTCTAATTTGTGTTTGGTTCTATGCGATACAGATATTCAGCAACTACATGAAATCACTGGGTGAGATCATCCACCGGTTTGGGGTCCAGAATCATCAGTATTCTGATGAGACCCAATTATATCTTTCAATCTCAGGACAGCCAAGTAAGGCTGTCAAAGTCTTGTCCCAGTACCTGGAGGCTGTGTGGGCCTGGATGGGAAGAAACCAACTCTGGCTCAATCCTACCAAGACTGAGTGGCTGTGACTGTTAGGACCACCTAGGTCTGGGGATTTTCCATCTTTACTCCTGAGTGGGGTTGCCATTCCCCATTCAGGAGTGGTGTGCAACTTGGTGGCTTTCCTCAGCTGCATTTGGTGAACCTGTTGTGCTCTCTCCTGGACTGAGAGACCCTTCAGACAATTGCTCATCCCTAGTCACCTCAAGGCTTAACCACTGCAATGCACTCTACATGGGGCTGCCCTTGAAAACTACTCAGAAGCCTCAGCTGGTCCAGTATACAGCAACATGGGCAGTGATGGACATGCCTTAGTATGCCTGTGTGACACCTCTGCTCTGCAAGCTGCACTGGTTGTCACTATGCTTCTTGGTTCAATTCAAGGTGCTGGTTATCACCTATAAAGCACTCCATGGTATATGGCCCAATTATTTAAAGGACTGACTATTTCCCATGGTTTCTGCCTGGCCAGTATGAGTAGGCACACTCCAGGACCCCTCTATTAAACGATCTAATCTTTTGGGACCCAGGAAGCATACCTTCTCTGTAGTGGCCCCTGCCCTCTGGAATGAGGTCAAGCCCGAGATCTGGATGGCTCCTACCTTGGTGATATTCTGGATGGCCTAGCTTAAAGACCTAGCTATTCTCCCAGGCCTTGAGGTAGGGTAGGTGAGACCCTCCTGTTCGAAATGTTGTCTGTATTGATTGGTTTGCCATCTTCTAACTATCATGTAATTCTTTTTTGGATTAATTCTTATTTCATTTCCTTTTACTCATTTTTTGTGTTGCTATTTAGTTTTAATGTTGCTCTTTGGTTTATGTTACTCTTTTAGTTATGTTGCTCTCAGACAGTTGGTTGGAGTCAGACAGCATAGAAATTGAATCAATAAAAATAAAAAATAATACAGCTTTTGTATTGATCAATCTTTGCTTTAAGCTGAATGTTCAATTGTTGGTGAATCCCATTTCACAACTTTTGATGGTCGCCATTATACCTTTCTTGGGAGTTGTCAGTATATTCTGGTAAAAGGCACTGGGAAAGACAAATTCACACTCACTTTACAGAAAAGTTCCTGTGGACAGGTAAGTTGACAGTTTAATTAATATTTTATGATGATCAGTAAATTCCTATATATCTAATTCAGAGGAAGCCAATAAATTACTTAAGAAGATTAGCAATAAAAAAATCAGTGTTTTTCTTGATACTGAGTGTCTTTTATGATCAGAACCTGGATTTTGTTTCAACTATAAGCACTGGCTTTGTAAAAGCAATTGCACCTTTTACTGTGATTAAGTCTAAAGGTTTTTCATTCATGCATGATTACACAAGCATGTACATATTTGGTTACAGTCTGAGCAGGTGTCTTAGACAGATAAATGCTCTTGGTGACAGGTCTGAACAGGCTTGATATACTGCCAACCAGATAAGAGCATTTTGAAGCTGACTGAGATATTTATTTGATATTTTATGTGCTCTTTTCTTGGAACAATAATTCTGGAAGCTCAGAGAATATAAAAATATTTGATCAGGCATTTACCCTGATGGTTAGTTAAATCTAGGATATGCTGAACTTGCTGAAGCATTTGAGTTATTTTTAAATTATTTTAGCTAATTATCTGGTTATTGCATTCCAAGAGGGAAACAAAGTTACTCTTGGCATTAGCCTATTACTATTATCTCTATTTATGCTGCAGTTATGCTTTTTAATTAAAATGGGTTCTGTTTCAGTAGTTTTACTTGTTCTAGTTGCTTGTTTTACTTATTGTTTTATTATGCATGTTATGCTGTATTTTTATTTACATTTTAGATATGTGATTTGCAGTGTATGTAACCCATCATGAGGTGACTTTTTGCTTTAGTTAATAAATAATAATATATGCTTTTATTTGTAATTCTAAAGTGAACTTTCTTTTGATCATATCAATAGGCCTTGCCTATACCTCTTATACTAGTGCTTTACCCTAGCATTTAAATCCCCATTTTTTCATGAAAATCACCATGCCACTCTCTGTCATCTAGATCAACTTTTCCAAACTCTGGGCCCTCTGGAACTCTTGGGACTGTAACTACCCAAAATCTCAGGCCAGCATGACTATTGGCTGTTACTTTTTCAATCTGGAACTATACAATTCAACATTCCTAGCCAGGGCAGTACATATACATTAGCATTATATGGGAAAAGGCAGTCCAAGATAATCTATCTTACAGAACTGTAGTGAGAATAAAATTTGGGAGTGGGAGGGAGGATAAAAGTAGAATGAAAGTGCAATATTGCTAAAAATGGAATATAATACAGATTAACAATATTTGCTCTATATGTTCCTTTTCTCATAAGACTCAGCCCTCCTCTTCCTTTGGTTCATACAGAGCATTGATTATGTCTGCATTCAGTCTCTGATACTAATTTTTGAGGATGACATAAGCAAGCAAGTGATTTTCACCCGGAGTGGTGAAATTCAGTACGGTTCTTCCAACCAGGGATTCATCCTGAATGGTAAGATACCATTTAGTATATATTAGTTAATTATCTTCCTGAACCTAAATTCCCTTTATATATACTAACCAAGCTGTTTCTGAGAAATAAATATATTGTACATGTGCCAGATTGCACTGGCCAGATACAGAGTCATCCCCAGTAAAAACAGCTAAAATGTTTAGATAGGATTAGGCAGTTCTATGATTCTGATTTCTGTTTGTCTTGTACTAAGTCTCATTTTCTTTCTCTCTCTGTATAAATTGGGGGATTATGTATATTTTAACCTTCATTCTGTACTTCAGGTTGTATTCTAGACAATATATTTTCCTCTGTCAAATCTTCTTCTAATCAATAATATTAATTTGGAACACAGTCTTGTCTATTTATGGAGACTTAAGGGCAGACAGCATTTCATTTTAGCAAAACTGCATGATCTTATGATCTGCCTGGAGCACTGTGTTTTCTTTGGGATGCAATTTTGGCTTACCAAAGTTAGCAGCTGTTTTTTTTTTTCTCATGAGTTAGGCAGCTCTGTATAATTTATCTTCTTTGACATTCAATTTTTGCATTTTCATTTTTGAAATTAAAAAGAGATTTTACATTTTATCTATTTTTAACAGACTTTATTTTGTTTATGCCCTATGAGATTGGTCCCTTTATCCCCCAAAAGATAGGGGAAGGGCTGAATTTTCTAGATACTGTGCTTCTGTGTTACATGGTAAGGTGGTTACACTATTGAAATTATTTCCTTTTTTCTTTTTTTTTTTGCTTCTTGGCCTTTTAATAAGTAGAAAGACAGCATAGGTTATGAAAACTCTATCTTTTTGAAACATTAGGCATAGGGGTAGATGGCACCCTATCTTGGAAGATAGGTGGTGGCAGCAGGAACTACCGAGCCACTGTTCCAAAGCACTGTATGAAGACCCAGAGGCCTTCTGGAAATGAATGTTTATGCCTTCCACCCAATGAATTCAGCTGTTTGCTGCAATATGGTTCTGAATATATTTTCACGAAAGGATAAAAGATTAGCACTACTTTTTAAATGAATTAAAATGAATTCATGAATCCAACCTTGTAGCTTCAGCAAGCTTCTTCTCAGTTTTGGAGCCAAGGATTGGTTCAAATTAAATAGCTAGACTTCACTGAGCACATGAACTGAATTAGGTAGCTGGCTATCATCTCTGGTATTCTATGTGTGAAAACAATTGAATTGGAGCAACTGGTATAGCTATAAGCCATGCCTTGTTGCAATTATTTGCTATGTTATTTTTATCTATCTATCTATCTATCTATCTATCTATCTATCTATCTATCTATCTATCTATC